ATATCGTTTTAAAACAAAAAAAAAAACATTATATTTACAAGAGAAATTAAAAATTCTTTATAATCCTCCAAAAAAAAAAAAACAAAAATTACTCTTTAATGAATAATAATATTTTATTTTGGGTTCTTAATCCTTAATACAAATTAAAAACATAAAGAAAAATGTCATCCCTATATCGTTTGATTATCTTCTTCTCTTACTCTTCCTCCTCTTCCTCTTCCTCCTCCTCCTTTTTTTTCTATTATTTAAATTTTTATCAAAGAAAAAAAAAACAAAGCAAGAAAAAGAGTTAAATGACGCATATTATTTGATTTTGATTTAATTTCCGTAATATATTCTTAAACACCCTTCTTATCTTTTAATTTCTTTAACAGAATTTTAACTTTCGTTCAGAAATTTTATCACGTTCTCATCAAAATCTTTTAAAACAGAGCAAGCTGAAATCAAAAACTAAAAAGAAAAAACGGAGAAGAATCAAACGCATTCAAAATACAAAAACACAAAAAAGAAAGGAACAAATAAAAAATAAGACATAAAACCGATTTTGTCATATAGTATCCATCATCGTCATCAGTATCATAATCAGCATCAGGATCATCTTTTAGAGCGCCTTTAAACCTTCTTAATCTTAGTAAAATATTTGAAGAGAAAAAAAAAAGAAACGGAAACCTTCGTTTTTTTTCCGTTCTTTTATTGTTTTCTTTTGGTTATCCTCTTTTCCTTATAATTTTATTACACTTTTTTTTTTATTATTATTATTTGACATGAAACTTGACAAATAAAACCCAAAATGGAGCAAAGAAAAACATAAAAAAAAAAACAAGCGAGGGTTGAAGACAAAAACATAAAAAAAATTTATGTTTTCTCTTTCATTTTATTTTGTTTTTTTTTCTCTTTCATTTTATCCAACCATACGACTATTGTTGTTTTTGTCATTTAAAAAGAATTTTATTGGTTGCTTTTTAGCTTATTTAAATTTCTGAAATGAAATCTCATTTCATTTCTTTGAATTTTTTGTTTGTATACAATTGTAGATACGTATATACTTATAGTGGAATGCTGCTACCACTGCTGCTCCAGCTGCCTTCATCAGAATATGTTTTCAAGATCTGTTCCTGTCAGAATTTTTGTGTTTTTTTTTATTTTTTTTTTTTGGAAATTTTCCTTTTTTTTTCCCTAGTTTTAACCGATTTCATTCGTATCCTTTTTTTTCCCACCCAATGTTCTTGCTGTTTTTTTTTTGTTGCAGTAGTTGTTTTAATAATGTTATTCTTCTTATTCATTTTGTTTTTTGAACAAATATGAGAATACGAAAAAAAAGAAAAAATCAAAATTTTGAGGATAGCCAACTCTTTATAGCTAATTGTACAAAGGGATTTTTGTCCAATATCGTACGTATTTGTAATTAAAATGTTCTGATAATGTAGTTTTTTTTTCCAGAGATATTTCAGAATATAAAAAGTATTCAGAAAATTCACAGAGGAATACAAGAAGGAATAATATATACAAAATTATAAAAGGACAATATAATTACGTAATGTATTAAGAGTACAAAAATATTTTAAAAAGGTTTACATTATATGGAAACAAGGATATTAATTTGTCGAACAGAAAAACAAAACCAGTCTAAAGGATATTAATTTTAAAATGGTATATAAAATTTAATTATAATTTTATTATTTAAAAACTTTATGTTTGTGTACAATAAAAGAGGACACAATTTTTTACTTTTGAAATAAGTTTTTGTTTTCTGTGAATTTAATTTTATGTTGCTTTATTGAAGTACCATATTTTACTTTTGAGAAATTTCACTATAAATCAAACTTTTGTGAGTAACTATTAAAATAATTATTACTTTTAATGATAATTTTTATTGAACATATAAGAACCCCAAAGTTGTCCTTTTATAGAAACATTGTTTGTTAATTTGAGCTATTGAAATATAAAAATATAGATAGAGAAGTTTAATCTTTATTAAAAATTACAAAAATATCAGAAAAATTGGAATTTTGTTTAGGTAAACTAGTTGTTTTCTCACCTCAATCACGGAAACAATAGTTAATAAATAGCGTTAAAATCAACAATACTTTTAAAACATTCTTTTACATCTTCAATACGTTCTCTTTTTCTTCTTACTCAAAACTAATATAAGAGAAGTAATCGGGAGTAATTTTTTTTTGTAATTTGAAATGTTTACTTTCTCATAATGGAGTGGAATTTATAAAATGTGAGTAAAAAGAATTTGACGTTTGATTTCATTACAAAAATATTAAAACTATCTCTCGGAAAACTGAATGAAACTATTTCTCAGTTATTTCTCTATTATTTTTAAAAGAGTAACTGAGCAAGTGTATGATTGGGATGTGAAAGTGAAAATGTTCTGTTGATGGATAATTATCGTTAAGTCAAATAATTCGATCTTATTAGAAGAGTTGTATTATCAAGTGATTATGACAAAGCAATTGTCTTATTCTAGCTATCACAAATAATGTTACCACTTCTTGACATTTCAAAAAAAAAAAAAAATTCGTACTTTTCGACTGAAATTGATTAATTACATATACCTTTGAGAGTCGCATAATATTCAATTTATAAAAATTCAGGCTAAATCTTATCAAATTATAAAGTCAAGTCATTTCGCTTTAGGAATAAAGTGACAGAAGTTATATGACATTTAAGGGAGCTTTTTTTTTTATCAATTATAAGTGACATAAAAAAAGTGTTAATTGGAAAATATTTTTTGTCAGTACAAAAAATTCTGATTATTGCCATTAATCTGGTCACTGGAATAGGGTCACTGATACAATATAATTATGTGTATAGGTGTGTAAAATTTCGACTTATTTACTATATGTTATTTACAAGCAAGTAAGTCTTAAAGTTTATAATTTTATCAAAATATTTTTTAAAGTTAAACTGGTATTACTAATATTAAAACTTTGAAAAATAAAAAAACAACACAAACACATTTTAGACAAATTGTCAAAAAAAAAGGAAATTTAAATTTTATAAAAAGTATAAAAAAAATATTTATTTTTCTCTCATAATTCAACAGCAAAATGCATTACGCGCGTTATTTTCGACCAAAATATTTATACCAAAAAAAAAAAATAAGAAAAAAAAAGAAAGAGAAAAATATAAAATGTGCTAGACGGGTTGTGAAGTGTTCAAAATAGAAATGTAAAAATATTAAAAGGAGTGACTTCTGTTTTTGTTCTTGTGGCAACAAATCGCTTTCATCGGAAATATAGGAAGAAACTTGTGGGAAAAATTCATTGGAAATATCAGAATTTTCAAGTGTTGAGAACATTCTGGAATATTATATTTTTTGCTCAAATTCAAATAACAAAGATTTCGGAAGGAAAGACAAGTGAAGTTGATTTTTAGGAAAAATTATTTTTTTTTTTTTAGATTATGCGAGGAAGCTGGTTTTCGGTATGATTTTTTCTGTAGAATAACCTAATTTGGGTGGTGAGCATTAAGTTAAGCATGAAATACACGTTGCGGTTTAAAGTTTAGAAAATAATACGTTTTAATTTAACGTTGGTGTTACCTTGTTTTCCTATTTTGCAAATTCATATTAAATATTTAAGAAAATAAGTATTTAAGAAAAGTAGAAAAATGCTTTGATCATCTGCCAGTTAGTAAATTGATGTGATTTTGTCTTCAAGGAAGTAGGTTGCTTGGTTGGATACACGACGCTACAGTTAGCACAAATGTACCATTTTGTTATCACTCTTTCTGAAAAACCAGAACGTCATTATGTTTTCAGATACCAATCGGCCATTAGAGTCATCTCGCCTCTTTAATGAACGAGTGAGAAACTTATACTTTTGCTAGAATTAATATTAAGTCCAGCAATGCTCACTTCACAGAACGAGATTAATCTTGCTCTATTCACAGTGGTAATAAATTAGCGTCTCTTCTTTACTACCGGTATCTGCGACATAAGGGATTAAAAGAAAGTCCTATCTTTTCCGCGTGTTCATAAATCGGCTAGTGTGACGTAGAAAAGCGCCACTATAATATCTATATTCTCTCGCGACATCAAAAGGAATTCTCCCGGGCTGTTTTGGCGGTACTGAAATCATCAAATTTTAATTCAAAGCTAGTCTGGAGTTGCTTCAACAATCTGGAAAAACTGAGTGTGAATAACAAAGTCACTCTTATGTGGGTTCCTGGCCATACAGGATTAAAAAGAAATGAGGAGGCCGATTATCTGGAGAAGTTGGGGGCATATGCTTCCTTCATTGGGCCTGGTCCGAGCATGGCTAATTCTATGAGATGTCTGGCCAGGTCTGTCTGGGTGGAAAGGCATGCTTTGGAGCTGTGGCGCTCCCGTGCGGGGTTGTCGCGATCCAAAAACTTCTTTGGTCGACGGATCGCGGGCATTCCAGACATTGTAAGGCAAAGCTACTCTTCACTGAGAGTTCTATCGTGTTCTGTCATTGGGCATGTGCCCTTTAACTCATATTTACACAAAATTGGCAGATCAAATACATAGCGATGTAGATTCTGTGACCGTGGCACGGAGGACTACACTCATGGCCTATTTGAGTGTGATGGCTTGGCCCTCTCTATCGAGGCCTAGGACTAGAATTCACATAAATCGTTGTGCATGACGGATCTGTTAAAATTTATCGGAAGCCTTAACCTTGAGTTCTAATGATCTGGTGGGGGGATAAACAAAAGACCTGTATGGTCGAGGTGCTGATTAAATTCGCCCCATACGTAACGCAACGTAAGGTAGTGGTTTATGTAATATTTATCATCAGTTAACGCATTGTAGACCGAACATGTTGAAATCGATAAACAAATAAGTGCGTTTTTTTTTGCATTCACTCTTCACTTCTCTGGGAAAACTAAAAGAGATAGAGTGATTCCAAGTGATTTTTTATGATCACTACTATTTGCGTATTGCATAAGAAAATTTTATAATACATACATAATTATTTTATAATTAAAATTAAATCAAAAAAATAATTGTTTATTGTACTTACCTCTTGTGTAAAACTAATTTCAATTTTTTCTTCACTACTTATATCTTTCATACTGGTACTAAAACCTTTTATTATTGATGATTGCTCATATAGAATTTTATCACGATCACGTTGTCCTCTTGATTTTTGTAATACACTTTGTTTACATCTTGTACCACATGCAATCGCGGATATTTTACTAGCGTAATAATACATCGCCATACGTCACGAGATTTTTTTATCACAAATTTTCATTATTTCAAAAAATATTTTTCTCCTATATTAATTATTAGTATAGCTATAATATAATTATTATATTAAATTATAAATTTTATTATTATTAATTAATTAATAATTACGATACTTATTATTAAAATTTTTTTACTATATTAACATTATTATTTATTTATGGAATTTATTTTGAAGAACGAAAAAAATTATAAGAAAATTTTAAATTTTTAATAATTTTTCACATTTTTTTAAATTTTAAATATTTTTTTGTTTTTTGTCTAAATTTTTGATTTTGAATTGTTGCTCATTATGGAAAACATTTCAATTATTAAATACTAGATTTTTATTTATTTATCGAATTCTTTATCTCTATATTTTATAAATAGTTTTTTAATTTATACAATTTTGGTAAGTATTATTAAAATTTAATGATGTTTTCTGATATTAGTAATTTTTTTTTATTTTCGTTGAAAAATTATGGAATTTTTTTTTTACTCTTTTATAATTTACAATTATTTTTCAATTACAATGTTACAATTAAATTTATTAAGTTTTTCAGACATTTTAATTAATTAAAAATTCTTCTGTTAGTTTAAGTAATTTTTTCATTATTATTACACTGCTCATTCCATATGTCTGTTGTTCAGTTCGTCCTTCATATGCTGGTATTACATAACCATAAAAATTATTTGAATTTTGTAAAAAAAAACAAAAACTAAATTAAATTTTTATTGTACTGCTTTCTCTTCTATATGTAGTTAAACTTCCTGGCACAACAATTATTATTATTATTATTGTCCTCTAGATGAATCCTTAAGGAAAAAATATAGAAAAAAAAATAATATTGTTAATGAAGAGAATTAAAATTTTTTTCTTAATTCTTGTTTTTTAATGTTTTACAATAATTTTCTCTTATTTTGTCTTCAACTATAATTTTATTATAATAATCCTTGTTAGCCTTGTTAACAACATTAATATTTGGTATTTTTGTTTCGTTTTGTTTGAGGAAAAAAAAAAATAGACCACAAACACCACAATTCTATGTCATGAAAATTATTTTAAAAAGAATGAAAAAAATAATAATAATAATCGGATAAAATATAGAAAAGTGAAATTTTTCTTTGGTCCTATATCAGGTTTTCTTTGCATACTATTCTATATTAGTGTTCTTGTGTAATTTCAAGACATTTTTTTTTTAAGAAAGAAGAATTGGAATAAAAAATAAAATTAAAATTGAAATTGAATTTGAAATGTTATGCTAACTATAAAGAAATTCTTTGTCATATTTAATTTTTTTTTTTTATAATATTCTAGGTTCATTTCTCTCAAGTATTTATTAAAATGATGCGGGGAGCAGCAGACGTTCCTGAAATTTAAATATAGCAAGGAATCGCAATGAAATAGAAAAGAGAAATGAAAATAAAAGCATTATTGTAAGCGGAAGTGTTATTAACTAAGAAATTTTAGCCTCTTTTGTTTTTAGGACGTTTCTAAAACAATGCCCTTAAAATTTTTTTTTTTTTAAAATGTGATCTGTTAAAATTATTAGCAATTTGTATTTTTGTAGGAAAAAATTTTGTTCTGTATTTATTGCTTATGTTCCTTCAAGTTTTTCTAGTTGAATCAAGAAAAATTTAAGTTTTGGAGAGCTTGTTCAGAATAAATTATGAAAAATTTTTTAAAATTCGGAAAACTTGACTTTTCAATTGTTAATTCCACTCTTTCCTTAATATTTTGTATTCTGTTCAGAAAATATTTTTTATGTAATTACAATCATTTATATTGATCTTTTAATTCTGGGGTAGCTGTCCGATAAATTCTTTTGATTTTGGGGCAATTATTCGTTTTCCTTATTTCTCAGATTTTTAAACTTAAATTTTGCAAGAAATAAATTTTTGATCATCTATATTTCTGACCTTGAAAAACTTCATTTTAAAATCAAAATTTGCAAATTCCTCCTAAAAGTAGGCAATATTTTGCTGCCAAAATATAATTAATTTTTTTAATAAAATATCGTTTTCATTAAACATTAAGAAATGTGCTATTTTGTGAAAAAATTGTTGGGCAATCAAGAAAATATTCTAGCACACTTTCGAAAAGGACTTGAATAGATCCTTTAGATCTATTTCTTGTGAAAACAAGCCACGTTTATTATTGGTATTTTTTTACTATTATTATTCATGTGTTTAGTATTTCATTTCCTTGATGAGTGGTTTTTGTTACTTTTTTTAGTAGACAATTTGTTTTTTGTTTTCATTTTAACTTTAAGATTATGTTTTTTTTTATTGGCTTTATTATTTCTTATTTTCTTTTTCATTTCCTTATTTTCTATTGTGTGTGTCTGTGCTGTACTTATAGTCCTTATATACGAGAATTGAGAAAATAGCAAAACTATTTCAGTTAAATTTTGTTTTTATTTTTTATTTTATTTTTTTAAATGATAAAAGAGCCATGGTTCCTTCTTGCATTGCGTTGAGCTTTTTTTTTATTATTGCAATTATATTTTTTTTTCTTGTTTTCGGAGTAATAACATGGTATGAATGATGATGATAACACTTTTGTATGCAAAATTTTAACAACTTATAATACTTGTATGTTATACAGGGTGATTTAGAAAGGTTGGTAATGGTTAGAACGTCGAAAATTTATAAAACTTTTGTTTTGGGTGTTGTTGTTAGATCTCGATGCCTTGGAGTGGCACAGCTATAAAAAAAAATTTCAAAATTTTAGTAGTCTTTTTTGAAAGCTCCCATCCCCCGTCACGAGCTCTTTTAAAAATATTTTGTTTGAATCTTTCTTTGATCGGATGATGGGAGCAAGCAAACACTCTTCCATATTTTCTTAAAATCGCTTTGTCTTTCAAATCACTTACATTTGGTGTTCTCTCCGGCAAAATAAAAGCTACTTTTTCGATCTTCTAACCAACGATATATAATAGTATTGCATACCTTTCTGAAACACACTATATAACTGTATACAAGCACATAGTTGCGTTTGTATACTCAATATATATATTTCAGTTGGAAACGAAAATATAAAGAAAAATTCCAATTTTTTTTTTCTCTTTCTTTCTTTCCTTGTTTTTACTAATAGAAGTACATATAACAATAGTATTTAGTTGAAAAAGGATCTTTACTTTTATTAAATATTTTTCAAGATGATTGCGATTCATGTAACGTCTAGAAACGATCATTCTTATCATCCTGTTGTTTTTCCTGAAATAAAAAAAAAAGAAAAAAAAATATAGTAAATGCGAAGAATTGTATAATACTAATATTATAAAAGTATGTGAGAGTGTAAGATGAAGAGAAAATCAAATGTGTTACGAAAATAAAAAAAAAATGAAAAATATTAAATAGCAAAATAAAAAAAAAAGGAATATGATAGATAAGGATTCTAGTGTAAGACTAAAGAACAAAAGAAGAAACAAAAATAGCAGTTTGATTAAAGCATTTTTTTCTTACTTTTATTTTTAAGAATAGTTGGTGGGGGAATATTATTTGGCTTAGACTATAAAAATGAATAGTTCATTCAGAATAAAATTGATATCTTGAATTGATGATATTTTTTACACCCTGCACTTGCATGAAGTTATGGAGTTTATAAACGTTTGTCCAATTAAATTTTACATTTATTCTGAAAATTTTAATGAGTTCAGGTAACTGCCATATAAACCTAAATGTTGAATATTGGCAAAAATAATAAAGTCAAATTCATGAAACCTTGTAGTCGTGTGTCCAATTTTGTCGTGTGTCCAAGAATGGCTCGACAGGAACTCATTTTTTATATTGAAATGTTCCAGATGCAGGGTATAATTTAGTCGATTTAGACAAACTGAAACATTTTTGCTTATTTATATAATCAGAGAGCAAAAACCTTACATCGTCATGTTACATGTCTCCTATTCCTAGTAAATTTTTACTCCTAGATTTCGCTAAGAGCTCTAAAATGATCCTTCGTATGACTGCATTTGTCGGCATTTTTTTCGAAAAAGCATCGAGTCAAGGTCTAAATTGTCATTGCAATATTAAAACTTTTAAGGACTTATATTAATTGTTATACAATCATTTTTTTTTTCTGTGTAATTTTTAAAGATGTTTCTAATTAACATCTTATAATTTTTTATGTAATAAATATTATTTTCATGAAAAATAATTATAGTACCCAAAGTGTAAACATTGTGGACTTGTGATGTAATAACAAAATTTTAAAATTGAGTGGAAGCAAAAATATAAAAGCTTTTCTGTGTTTTTGTTTTTCCTTCTTTCAGTTTTCGGTTCTATTTGTTATCCTTTTGGTATTTTTCAGAAGGATAAAATATAAAATATGAAGACAGAAAATTTACAATTAAATTTTGAAAAAAAAAAAATGACGAGGATATTTTAGTATTTTTTTTTTGTTATTTCTTCTTCCTCCCTATTTTTTTTATTCGTTTTTATATTTAGATTTTTAAAATATTCTATAGTTTACGTCATGGTAATGAGATGTTAAATTTTTATTTATAGCCTCAAGCTGTAGTGTAATTTTATCTTTTTTATGTCTTATTTTCATTCTGTTACTTTTTCTTTTTCAATATTTTTTGATGTAGTTGTAACTAGAGGGTTTATTTTCGTAAGAAATTATAAAAATTAGTAGATTTAGTACCATATTTAAAGTGGTGTTGGCGTTTATTATTCGATGGAAGCAAAACAAAAAAAAAATATGTTCAACATGAAATTAGTTTATTTTTTCTTATGTAATTTAATAAAATATTGTTTGTTTTTGATATTTTGGTGTGGATAAATCAGGATCTTAAAGTGTTTATTTGCAGATTAAAGTACTTTGAGTATATTAAAAAGTTCTGGCAAAATGGAAGTAGCATTCATCTCAATATTATCCGTTTTTATTAAAGAAAGTTGTATATAGAACATATGTTTTATATGTTGAGCAAAATTGAAAACTACAAACGTTTTGATCACTGATTTTTCGAGAAAGGCAACAGAAAACCTTTAATATATAATTCTGATGAATTTAAGTGAAAAAACAGACCGGCAGGCGAGAAAACGGAAACACAAACGGAAGAGCAAATTCACCAAATTAGAAGCAGAAAGGTTGTCAAAGCAGAAAGCAGAAAAACGGATAAACGGAAAACTATAAATGAAAAAACAGTCGAACAGACGAGATATCGTACGAAAGACAGATTTAATCAGACCGATAGTCAAATGAGAACGTAAACAGAAGGAGGTACAGAAAGCATTAAATGATGTGTTTTTCCATGGGTAGGTGGGTAA